GCGTGTTTCGTAAGTTGAATTTTTCGTAAGATGAAGCATTCGTATGTACAGGTACGACTACAAACCATGCAGATATGTTTTCATTACTGAAGTTAATGAAGTTCTTAACAGTCAGAAACTGTCTTTGGGAAGGATAATAGGCCAGTGAGAATTTTGAGCAATTCTACCTTCTCAGAGCCAACATGGAGTAGTGGTTTGAGTGTTGGCCTACAACTCTGGAGACCAGGGTTCAAATACCTGCTCGACCTTGTAAACCTACTGAGTGACCTTGAGCAAGTCATACACTCTCAGCCTCAGAGAAAGGGAAAGGCAAAACCCCGCCGAACAAATCTTGCCAAGAAAACCCCATGATTGGATTGCCTGAGAGTTGCCATAAATAAGAAATGACTTGAAGGCACACAACAATTCTACCTTCTGTAGTGTTATACAAGAATTGTTCTGCAGAGGAAAAACCTGGATTTTTGTGCAATAAACCCCCTTGTTTTCTACACAGAAAATGGAATTTCCTGCAGGTTTTCAGACATGATAATAATTATTGTGCAAAATTCTGGATATTCAAAAACAAGGGGAATATTGTAAAACAATATCCTTGTTTCCCTTTGCAAGAAGAAAATGACTTTAATTCTTTCTCTTCTCATGTGGGGATGAAATGGTTGAGGATTTCCATCCCTCGTCTAGTGCAGGCATCCGTTTTAAGCATGATCTTTTCATTTTCAATTACTCTTTAAACAAATGTGGCTACTTTCTCTTTCCTTTGTTTTAGTGGAACGGATTTGGCTTACACTTTTATACACGTTATTATACACTCTGAAAGAATTCCAGCATCTGATAATGAGAATGTTTTTTTAAAAAAATCTTTCTATGTATTAATTTATAATTAGGTATTGCTATTTTTCTTAAGAATCAATGGTGAACACATTGGTTGTGTCCATAAAAATAAAAGATGCTTGCTGTTACAGGATTTCACTATCACTACAAAGGATCTAATCAGGAAAAGAATCGAGCCATCAAATTCCTGAGCAGTTGCTGGTGTGTGTTTTACTTTCAGCTACACAATCCAATATAATTGCTTCATAGTCAACCTTCTGGTTATTTGGATGACAAAGAGGCCTTTCATTTATGTGTGAATAACCAAATCCAGTCCATCCGGATTTGTTTGACTTAAGGAGTGTTGGAATACTGTAGCTAGCTTCTGTGTTGTTACTTTTTAAATGGGTTTTTGCCCTGTGAAAATTAGGAGCCTGCTTGACAAAGTGTTACTTGATTACGGATTGTTACCAGGCTAAGCAGAATGTAGGGCAGAGGAGAAAATAATAAATGTTTCCATTAACTGTATATTTCCTGATTAATCATCACTTGATTGCATCTTTTTCCTCAGTTGCTTAAGCACCAATTGTGTCTCTTTGTTTTACATTGGTACTATTATCTGATTGTATAATAGTGGTGTTTCAATCTTTTACAACAGGGAAAGGAGTCCAGAAGTTAAATGTATTTGAATTGCACCCCTTGTTATATGACACTAACCTGGATATGATTCTTGGTCTCTGGAATCTAATGAAGTGCCTTTTCACCTGTTCCCTTACATTTATTCCAAATATAAGGCACACTTTCATTGTGTTTACTTTACATATGGATAAAAAGTGACGCTGTGACTTTTACCTTGATACATACCCAATATCACCACATGCCACTGTTCGTGCCCTGCATGTTCCTTGGCATATCTGAAAAGGGATACTTATGTGTGATGTGATCAGAAATTCCAAATGCATACTGCTAATTTAAACATATTCCAGTGAACATACAGATTTCAGGAGGTTCCATCAAGGAAGTGCAGGCCTGCTCCTTAGAGATAGAAAGAACACTTAAAACATTTAAAAAATGGTCAAGAAAAATGTGTTGGAAAGCCCTGATGAGAAAATCCTGGGCTCACAAGAATCTTTGCAGTTCAGGGCTTATTCTGTGCAAAATTTGCACCTGACTTTTTTTGCACAAAAAATGTTTTCTACACACAAAACATTTTTGCACAAAAAAAGGTCAAAATAAATCATTTTCTATGCAGGGAGCAGCCTATTCTGCAGAGAAAATAATGTTTTCCTGCCAAAAATAACATGTGCAAATTTCACACAGAAGTCCTTAACTGTGAATAGTCTTTGAAAACTACACAACTAGTTTCTCACAGTGGAAAGAAATCTGCTAAAATTACTTATTCTTTTCTGTGAGCGTGAAATTAGCTAAGAATTATATCCTTACTGCTTCCTCCTTTATGAATACAGTAAAACATGGAGAAACACCAGATAGAGCCCATTGTACCAAATCATTCTCATCAAATGTAGCTCTTTTCAAGATCAAAAGAACTGGATA